ACCTTGTTGTCTCGGATTCTCCAGCATCTGCAGTTCCTACTATCTCTGATTCAATGGTAATCACTGAACATTTGAGGTGACTGATATGAGACCAATTAAATTTGCTGTTTTGTTCCTGGTGGTGATATGCTTTTCAAGTGTTTTTGGAGCTGCAATCATCCAAGCTACTGGGGACTATTCTATCATGTTGCTAACTTGTGTCAAAATTCATGGCGAACAGGCATGGGGAATGAGGAGTTGAGGTACTTGACATAGAATTATCCGCATCAGAACTGATCTTGTAACAATGGTATTTCTGTTTCTAGTTCAGTTAAAATTGCATTCAATGATAACTCCCACATTATTAATAATAGAGATTTCAACAATGATAATGCTGTTCATTATCATAGGAGGATGATTAGATGGTCATTGCATTATAATTGAGAGGTGCAGATGCCATTTGCAATATGGTACCCAAACCTGAATTTGTCCAGGTCTCATTTCATGTGGGCAGGGAAACCTTCAGTTATCTGAGAGTTGTAAATGGCATTGAACACTGCACAGAATGAACATCCCAGCTTCTTATCTGACACTGGAGGGAAAATCATTGATAAAGAAGCTGAGGATGGTTTGCTCCCCAGAGGAAATTATGTATTAATGGCCAGTGGAATTGGTGATTCGTCTCCAACAGCAACAACCAGCTTCCTTTGTGCTGAGAGATTTCCTCCAAATTACAATTAACTTCACTGATACTAAAGTTCCTTGATACCATGCTCTTTAATATCAACGGCAGTCAGTATCACCTCACCAGTGGAATTCAGCTTTTTTTGTCTATGTTTTGACCATTGCTGGAGTGAGGTCTGAAGTTTCTAGGTGGAATTCAAATTGAACATCTCTGGTTCTTGAGTATGTGTTACTTCAAAGTACTGTCCATGCCACCTTCCATAATTTTACTGATGAAGTCATCATTGCTGAGTTGGATTTATCCCTTTCATGTAGACGGGGCATAACTGGGTAAGTTTTCACATTCTCAAATAGATTTTAGTATTGCCATGGGATATGGTTGGTTCTGGAAGATTGGTAAACTCTTCCCTGCTTGGCCATGATGACGTATCCAGTTTCTGAGTTTACTGCAAAGTTTTGGTTTAGTTCTAAACTTGTGCTCACAAACGTGTAACCTTAGTGTTCAGCTAAACTCAAAAAGTAGCCACTAGACGAGACAGCAGCAAACAGGAAAATCTTACAGGCAAAGCACTGAGCAGCACGTTCACCACTTTAAGATTGTGAGCTACGATCTGAAAGGCCAAAGAGATTCCAGGTTCAATGGCTATGTTGAGTTAGCAGATATAACAACACAGTTGTTACAATCTTGTCAAGATGGGGAACTATTAGTGAGTAAACTGAGGTGAGCAACGTGGTTAAAGCTGCAGTGTTAATTTTGGAAAAAAATGACAAGTATTAGCTCTTTGCATTTGTTTTAGTTGGCTGCTGTAACAGTTTTTTCCTTTTTCCTATTTCAGTTGGGTGATCAACAACCAATTTGTCAATATCAAAAAAATTCAAATTATAGGTAAGTAACTAAGTACCAAAAGATGTTTTTAATATGTAGTTTGGCTAGTTCTTCAAAATATAGGTACCTTTGACTGAACTTAACCTTTTTCTTTTATGTATTCACTTTCCTAATTACCTTCTGTTCTTGAGGTTGTATACCTATATACATATAGAATTGGACCCCATATACAAACCCATAAAGATCAAAACCGGAAATGAGACTACTCACCATAACGGACCAGACAGTGCGAATTCCAAGCAGAGTAGAATGACATCGCTTCATCAGAAGCTCCACTGATGGTGTCACCTAGCATGGTGATGAAAAGTCTGAACAAGAACAAGCCAGCTCGGCAAGCAAGTTAACAAATCTCCCCCATAACCCGAGCTAGTGTTCTTTGCCAAAACTTCAAATCTTCTGTTCTTCTTCAGAAGACATTTATTCAGTTACAAGGACACGTGCTGCTCTCTGGTAGTCACTTTTCATGTATCATGTTAGGAATTACAAGATAGCAAAGCTAAGTCTAATAGATCTTAACCCAAATTCCAACCATGTTACAGGATTTACTAAATAGTGATCAGATTATATTCAGGACATTTGTTCATATTGCTACCTTATTTGAGGTCCACCAACTCAGTACAGCTCCAGAGCCAAGAACTGAGTCAGTACGAGTGGTACCTGCGTAAGCACTTTAGTACATGAATTATTTTTCGCTTATGGAAATAAGAGTGGTGAAGGAAATCTGAGCCTATTAACGTAAAATGCAAGTGAAGCTGTAACAGATAATAAGGAAAGGGCAGTCTCAGTTTTACAATACAAGATGAAAAAGACAAAATATAGTGATACAAGAGAACCGAAAAGTAATTTTTGCAAGCATGATGGATTTCATACAAGTATTTACAGACCAAATCATGGAGAAAATAATGGGAATTAAATCAAATAACCAGGACCTGACCATTTCCACCTTTAGGGCATTAACAGAAAAAGATGATAAAATTTAGATGCATTTATCATAATCTTCCAAAGCTATCTAGTTGTATCTTTGAATTGGAAATCTATAAATATCCTTCCATTATTTAAGACAGGATGGAGGGAGAAACCAGGAGACTACAGACCCAGTCAGTTAACAGTCACTATTGTGACATTAGTGACATTTCATTATTAGGGTCTGACTAAGTGTGAGAGTACCTGGACAAGAACCATCTTGTTTTTAAAAAAAGATGTTGTTAACATGGATTGTGAAGGGTGGGCCATGTTTTGGGAATCAAGTTTTTTTTTTTTTTTTGAAGAGACCATGAGCGTGGTGCACAGAGGAATGTCCCATTGTTGTTCTTTGTCTAGGTTGATTGTCCGAAGGCATTCGGTAATTTGTGCTCAAGACAAAATAATAAGCATGGAGGTTGAGGAATATGGTTAATAATTGGTAGGAAGGTTAGAGACAGAATAGGGATTTAAAAAGTATGTTCATTAATGGAATTGTTTGCTTTTTCAGGTGACACTAAGTTAGAAAGAAAAGCAAGTTGTATGCATGAGAGTAGGAAATGATAAAGAGACAGATCAAGAAAATGGCTAAAACTATGGTCAATAGAGTTCAGTGTAATGAAATAGAAGATCTTCCACCTTGAAACAAGATAAACAGACTAAAATATTTGCCTCATAGCAAGGGTGTCCACGTATGCAAATTACTGAACTCTAATTCACAAAATCTACTAGGACAGGCTCATGGAAGCTTGACTTTTTGTCTTAAAAAAGGGAAAAGGAATTGTACAATAGAGTATTGGTCAGTTCAGTTCTGAAACACTACTGATAAGTGATTGAATACCAGGTCATCTAAAATGTGTGAAACTACAATTGACGGAATTTTAATGATTACGAGTGAAGAGATCTGAATAAGATAAAGCAAAGAATTAAGCTATTGTTCAGCCATCTGGAGTTGCAGCCCAGGCTTAAGATGGTCACCAAGGAGTGTGAGGAGTCATCATTGTCAATTGTCTTGATTCTGTGACTGAGTGGACACTGCTGCATAAAGCCTTAGTGAGGAATGCTGGTCTGCATTCGTGGTAGTGGAGCAGCCTTTGAAGGATTCCCACTGACACCTCTTGTGTGAGTAAAGTCCTGGCTGTGGCCACAAGGGGAGCACCATGTAGAAGTGGGAGAGGAGGGGATCTATGCTAGACAGCACTCCAAGGGTCTCTGAGGTTGGTTTAATCAATAACTGCATTTCTTTTCCTTTTCAAGTTTTGACACCTGAAGCTAAACATGTGAGCTTCAAGGTCCAGACTTCTTTGAATAGCCATAGTAAGGAGAACACAGCAATTTAAGATTAAAGCTACATAATGTATTACATGTGTACATATATGAAAGACCTTGCCATAAAAAGCAAAAAGATTCAACCCTTTTCCACAATATCTTCTACAAACACTCACCACAATCTTCACTTCACAATTTCTTACTGAACAAATGAGGTCACAAACATTTCCTTCTGGCAACTTCCTGCACATTAACCAGGTCTAATTCTCCATGTTTCTCACTGAGACACACAGACTGGCTGACTACTTTAGGCTGCTAAATCAGCTTCCGGTTTCTTTCCAGCTCTGATGATCTGAAGCTGTCCACAGCTGAAGTGTCCTTCTGCTGGGATAGATCATTTCTTCTGAACTCCACCTTATTGGTGACCACTTTTGTCTGTTTCTCTGGATCACAAAATGTCAATCAATAATAAGTAGCAATTTTCTCACCAGGTAGTTTGTTGAGTTATTTAGCTTAAGTTGCACGTGTTCTTGAAGAGGCTGTCTTAAGCTTTGTAGAGTGCAATTACAACAGCAGGTTCACTGTTCCAAATGGCGTTCTGACCCTTTCTTTAAAAAATAATTCAGAACTTCACAGCATTGAGAACCAAAACCTGTTACCTCTACTTCAGAATCCAAGTTCCTAGATAATGGCAATACAGTGTAAACCTTCTTCATAAGTGTGTTCAGAAACCCACAGGCTAGTGGTGTAGAAGAGTCTTGACAGATGCCAAGAAGGCAAGTGGCCATGCTGGAAGCTCCCATTTTGATCACCGATCAGTTGAACCTCAAGGGAATGGAAGTCCTTGTGTTGATTAATCTCATTTGATCCTGTTTTGGTGCCCTTATGGCTGCGTGTACAAGTAAGAACACTTTGCATCTTGGGATTATGGCAAAAGAAACAAATCTTGTTGCCTACAAGACCCCATCTGTCTTAAATTGGATGTTTTGCCTAGTTCCTGAAAATAGGGCAAAAGTAAGTATGACGATTTGCAACTGTTTGTGAGATGACACCAACATTTCAGCGTATCCTGGGAAGCAGCAGCAAATAATTTGAAAGCTGTAGTAAACCTTGTGACGCTTATCAGTAACTAGTGCCGTAAAATATGAGGTCCTCCACAATGAGGACATAAATCTGTTGCGATCATTAGACTGGAGACTTCGTCTCTGTGGCACTTGTTCCCGAGAAAGCTCTAGTGTTACAGTCCATGCTGAGGGCATATGCTCTTTTTACCTGCCTCTCATCTCCTCCTTGATACTTAGAGCTCTGGCTCTTCTGCACAGCATGTTGCTGCTCAGTGAAACTGGACGAGAAATCTAGGAGAAATGCTCCCATTTACAATATCTGCCCTTTTTTTGCACTTTGTGGGCATCCACCAGAATCTCAACATGTCCAACTATGAGCTCTTTAACAACTTTAATTGGAATCATGAGCTCATTGGTGGGCTCTTTGTCCAAGTTCATAACCCACTGTGGTGAAGCGTGCTAGCAGTAGGAACAGCAACAAGAAACTATTGTGTTGACTGATACCACTATTTTCATCACCTACCTGCTTCTGTTCCCTCGCCAGGAGGACTTAAAAGTTCAACTCCACAAGTGACTTTTCATCACTCTAAGAAATAAAATCTTCATTAAATTGTGCCCAGATAGCTGCTACTGAGATGTTTAAAGATGCTTCTCTTGAAGTACCTTCCTAGGTGTTTTTTCTCTCCTAAACCATGTACCTCCCTATTCTGGCAGCCTCAGGCTGGACCAAAGAAGTTGCCAGACCTCAGGAGGATACGTGTCTAGGTCAAAACAATGTTAAATCAGATATGTTAGTCATATTAGTACCATGGTCAGTGATTGAAGTCCTGATGAAATCTTTTAAGCCATCAAAGATATATACTATATTCAGTGCTAAAAGCACTTTATTCCACAGTTCAATAAAGACCTCACTGATTAATATTAATCAAATGCCCAATGGGCAAATGATTTTCCAATTAGATAAGCGGAAGTGGTAAAGGCGAGTACAGTTACAAGATTTAAAAGACATTTGTACAGGAAAGGTTTAGATGTGTAACAGCCTCCTGGCTACTAAAACACAGATTGCTAACTTGGCCAAACAGCAAGGGGTGCTGGGCACATTGGCCAAATAAAACTGAAGTCACAAAACCTGGACATCAGACACACTGCAAACACAATATCCAGAGACTAATGCCATTAGCATAATGTAAAAGGCAACAGTTATCTTGGACAGACATATCCCAACAACTTGTCCACCAAACAAAGGAGGGTCCAAACAAAAAGGCACCAGGTCCTGCTGGAAAGAAGTGAACAGTAGCAAGCTGTCCAATGATTTGACAATGCTTGAAACTATTAAGTGAGTCCCCCTGATTGACCAGAGCTATGGAAAGTTCCAGAAAACCATCCAGAAAGTTTTAAAAACAGGGTTCACCTGCAGACCAATCTCTCTTTTGGATCCTCTTTGACCTTCTGAGGAGACCAGCTTGGCAAAAGGCAGAGACTCCAGATGATCTGGAGAGAGAGGTGGGGGGAAGAGAGAAAGCAGCTTCGTAGTCCCACAGAGAGATCAGCTGTGCAAACCTACAAGAGACTTGGGAAGTATTGTGAGCTTAAAGGGTCGAATAGGATCAGAAATTTGGATTGTTTTGTAGTAAAAGCTATTGTAACTTGTTTCCTCAAAAAAGTAGGGACTGCTTTGCGTTGGTACCGGCTTATTTTCGTAGTGATTTGACTGCTTCGGTATTGTGGGACACCTGGGCAAATTCACTCATAACATTCTGGTTGGAGTTGTTTAACATGTTTAAGGAGGAGCTAGACAAAGGGATATGGGCCAAATGCAGGCAAATGGGACAAGTTCAGTTTAGGGAACGTGGTTGGCACGGATGAGTTGGGCTGAATGGTCTGTTTCCATAACGTATGACTGACTAAAAAACACAATTTAGGGTATTCAAACTGGACAAAATATAACAAAATATAAATAGTGATTGATGTAGAGATGTCACTGTATAGGATGGGCCGAAGGGTTAAAAGTTAATGATATTTGATAACTGCATGAGAAGCTAGATTGCATAGGATGGGCTGAATGGTAAAATTGTTGATGATACTCGACAAGCTGCATGACCTTGAATGGGTCCTGTGAACATTCCTTTACGAGTCGAAGATGGCACCACTTGTTTTCCCATCCAGTGTTTTCTGTACCAGCCAGCAGTTTGGCCTTTCTGTATCTGCTTTCTTTGTGCTGGCTGTTTGTCACAACATAAGAGAGAGAGAGAGAGAGAGTTTCGTTCCAAACTGTTGCTGCTGGACTTCGCTTTGGCTTGGAATTGTGAACCGTGCCAGGAACGAGCCTAAACCCCCAGACCAGCCTTCGATTGAGGGGTCCCCAACAGGCAGAAGAACATGGGACTCGTTGCTTTTTCTAGAAAGGCATGAAACTTGCTTTTTTTTCTTTTTCTCTTCCATTTATTATTACCACTATAATAATTTATTATTGCCATTATAATCATTATTCTTGCTTAGTAAACATTCATACTTAAGTTGTCAAGCCTTCTGTTAATTATGTTTACTTGAATCTGAAAAGAACCGCTTGGATACATGCTGTGATCCAAAATAGTCACTACAGGGAAAACTGAAAGTATTGTGGATCTCAGACCACAGGGGTCACTGGAGAAAAGTGTGTTAGGTTAGGGAGCTACTACTTGTAGTGAAAAGTTTCTTTTTTAATTCACTGTTTGGTTGTATACCTTCAATTTGGAAAACTGTGTTTTGACAAATTTCTGCTAACAAAGTGGAGATACTGCCGGTTGTGAATTTAGATGCTGATTGAATGGAACGTCCCAGGTTCACTACTAAATTATCTAATGTCAATCCATGAATATAGAGATTATCTTAGCACTTCCTCAGTTAGGAAGGAAATAATTGGGCAGAACTGATTGTGGTCAGTGACATTATCTGTAAACTATGCTGAATGGATACTCGGCAAAGAACTTTAACACCAAGACCTTTTAACCTGTACAATATTGCTGTTTTTTTTTTGTGACTATTGCTTTGGCCAGTATGCACAAGGAGGAAAATATGGATTGGAGGAGATTTTCACAAATGTTAGGATACACTGTTTAGGTGAATTCTGTTGATTGTTGTAGAGATTAGAGAAGGTAAGAAGAGAGATAACATGGTGTAGAGCTGGATGAACACAGCAGGCCAAGCAGCATCAGAGGAGCAGGAAAGCAGACGTTTCAGGTCGAGACCCTTCTTCAGAAAAGACATTTTTCTGAAGAAGCGTCTCGACCGGAAACGTCAGCTTTTCTGCTCCTCTGATGCTGCTTGGCCTGCTGTGTTCATCCAGCTCTACACCGTGTTATCTCAGATTCTCCAGCATCGGCAGTTCCTACTATCTCAGAGAAGGTAAGAAGCCCATTTACAGAATGTATGTTTTTGAAAAAACACACACACGTTTTCAATAATCTCCTTTCCTCATTGTTTAGTACTGTAAAAAAAATTTGAACATTAAAGCTGAGAAATTGTTTAGGAAGGTTACCTCTTGCTCTGTTTTGTACTATGCATTTTTTGTTTATCATTAGTAACGCAATGACAATGTTGTTTCTTGGAAAAAAAAGGCAAAATACATGAGTTTTAAACACACAGTTTGATCATTTGACTTGAGCACAGAAATTCAAGCGATCTCCTTGTTCTATCTAGAGAACAGTTTGCATTGAAAGAGATACCATCTCGGGAAATTCCTGCCAGAAAACTTGTCGAAGATCAAGATAAAACTGATATTCCAAGTGGTGAGGTAAATATACAGTTAAGCAATAAAAATTAATTATTGTGCTGTAGCAATTCCTAAGATAGAACAAACCCAGCAAATTATGTACCAACATAGATCTATAACAAAATAGGATTCTTACTTGAGTTTGTACTTTTAAATATATAGAAACTTAAAAATACATGGTCAAAGATCACGCGACACTAGGTTATAGTCCAACAGGTTTATTTGAAAACGCAAGCTTTCAATTTTCAGCTCCTTCCCCTGAGGAAGATGTCATGGTGACTTTTGACCTTGTCCACCCCTGTCCAACACCATCTCCACATCCTGAAAATACATTGAAGAGTTATATGTCAGATTCCAAAAATCAAGGTATAGGTTTATCCATTACTGATTTCTTCAATAAGTAGCAGAAAAGAGATACATGTGTAACCATATATGTTCAATATTTATGCATTGAATTTCCAGAAGCCTTTGATAAGGTCTTGCATAGTTGACCATGACTGCATTTGGAAAATGTGGAATCAAGATAACTAGCAGAAGACTAGCAAGTTAACTCCGGAACTGATAAGCGTGTTGGGTTTAACTAGCCATTTGGATACAGAACTGGCTCATGAGTAGAAGACAGAGAGTTAGTGGTGGAGAGTTGCTTTTCAGACTGGAGGCCTGTGACCAGCGCTGTGCCACAAGAGTCAGTGCTGGGTCCACTGCTTTTTGTCCTTCATATAAATAATTTGTATATGAATACAGGAGGTATGGTTAGTAAGTTTGCAGATGACTCCAAAATTGAAGGTGTAGTGGACAGTGAAGAAGGTTAACTCAGAGTACAATAGGACTTTGATCAGGTGGGCCAATGGGCCAAGGAGTAGCAGATGGAGTTTAGTTTAGATAAATGTGAGGTGCTGCATTTTGGAAAGACCAATCAGGGCAGGACTTACATGCTTGATGGTAAGTTTTGGGAGTTTTGCTGAACAAAGAGATTTTAGAGTGCAGATTCATAGTTCCTTGAAAGTGGAGCCCCAGGTAGACAGGATAGTGAGAAGGTGTTTGGTATGCTGGCCTCTATTGGTCTGTGTTTTGAGTATAGGAGTTGGAAGGTCATTGTTGCGGCTATACAGGACATTGGTGAGGCCACTTTTGGAATACTGCATGCAAGTCTGGTTTCCCTGCTATGAGAAGGATGTTGCGAAACGTAAAAGGGTTCAGAAAAGATTTACAAGGATGTTGCCAGGATTGGAGGATTTGAGCTATAGGAAGAGGCCAAAAAGGCTGGGGCTATTTTCCTTGGCGCGTCAGAGGCTGAAGGGTGACGTTTATAGACATTTATAAAACCATGAGGAGCATGGGTAGGGTGAATAACCATGATGTTTTCCCTAGGGTGGGGGGAGTTCAAAACTAGAAGGCATAGATTTAAGAGGAGGGGGGAAAGATTTTTACACAGAAAGTGGTGTGTATGTGGAATGAGCTGGTGGAGGCTGGTACAATTTCAACATTTAAAACGCATCGGATTGGTGTATGAATTGAAAGGCTTTAGAGGGATCTGGGCCATATGGCGGTAAATGGGACTAGATTAGTTTAGGATAGCTGGTCGAATGGATGAGATGGGCCAAAGGGTCTGTTTCTGTTATCTATAACTCTATGACTCTGTAAAGGTAGTCATTCAGATTGACAAATGATGAGAATTACTGTTCATAAAAGGATCCGTTCTGGAACCACTATTGATTGTTTGTTTGCGTAAATGATGTGCAATTGGACATACAATTTTGTGGGTGATACCAAATTGAAGTGTTACAGTTAATAGAGGAAATTTGTAACATGTATGGAAACACAGTAAACTTAGAGAATAAGTACGCATTGTCAAATGAGCTTTAGTATACATAGGTGTTAGACATTAGATTTTTGTTTGATGAATGAGACTATGTATTCCTTGGAAAATCTGTCCAAATGGGGTGTAGGAACAAAAGGCTCTGAATTATAATACACAGATCATTAAAAATAGAGTTTGAGGTTAAGAAGCCTTTTTCTTTTAAGACAAAACGATCATTTGAGGTTAATTTCTAGCAGGATAAAATATAAAAGATGCAAAGTTTTCTAAAACTTGTATTAAACACCAGTTAATCTATAACGGAGTACAGTGAGCAGTTCTGGTCACTGAATTATAGAGAGCATACAGAGGCAAATCAGAAGATAGAAACAAGATTACTAGTGTTTTATATTTTAAGTGAGGTATACCTATCAGGAAAGGTAGGACAGGCTGATACTGTCTATGCAGAAAAGACAGGATTGAAGTGTGAGTCTGATAGATGTCTTTAAAATTCACACTGGAAATATGTGCATACAGTGCAAGTGGCAAAGAAACTAACGTATCAAGTACTGTCATGGTGCTAAGTAACTATTCCAGCTGACATGATGTTAATTCTCAGGAACTTTGCTTGTACATGTTCCTTCAACACCTGTGCTGAATTTTCCTGCCTAGACAATCATTTCAGCAGCACAGGAGCCCTCCTTTTAGAAATATTTAGAATGCCAGGCATCCACTTGCTAACTTACTTTCTGTTTGCTTGTGCTTAGATTTATAGTTATGTTGTCAATATATTGTAGTTTGGAGGCTGTTTGAATAATTGGTGTTTAAAATTGGGGAGAATGACGGATTTTGTAATCAATTTTGAGGGCTGTGGTTGCAATGCCTCTTAGTCTGCAATGTGGCTCTCTTTAAATTGAGAGACTAGAGATGTTGGTGGTTGTGTCTTCAGCAAATTTGATTCACTTCTCATGGTTTCAAAAAAATGGCTGATGGCATCAAGTGCAACAAAGATTGTGATCCTGACATGGCACCTTCATGTCAAAAAAAAAGCTATGGCTTAAGGCATCAGTTCACAAAGGCCATCTTGAGAGAAATTAGGCAGGGATCATAAAGTGCTTATCTTGCCAGAAACATGAATGAATACATGAGAAGAAGCTCTAAGAGTAGAAATTTTCACCAACTTAACATTGATAATATGGAAGCCGTCATCTTTGCTCCCTACTACAAATCATGTTACCAACTATTGGCTGCCAAGCTGGCTGTGGTCATTTTCTGAGATTGAACCAGACCATTTGTAATCTTGAGTCTAGTTTTATCCTGAAGTATGTTTCTAATTACATACTGTCTTTTTCCTCCTCCATCTCTGACACTGGCTTAGATCATTAACTTAAAATGTAATCCTTTTCTTTACTACTTTTGGACTGTAATGTCCAACTTGCAAAAAAAAACAACCAGCTGCAACTAAAATAAAAGTAAAATACTGTAGACACTGGAAATCTGAAATAAAAACAAATTGTTGGAGAAACTCTCAGCAGGTCTGGCAACATCAATGTAGAGAAAAATAGAGTAACTGGATGTCTCTCCGACTTGTTTGAAAAATCTGTACCCAGTATAAAGAAGTGAACATTTTTTCCATTGGTGTTACATATTTGAAAACATGGCACAAAATTCAAAAAGTCTTTTTTTAAAAAAAGCTCTTGTTTTGTTACAGCTGCAGACCAATCATTATCAGCATGTTGGGCATAGAGTTAAGGCAGAAACTGATTGTGAAAGTATTGTAAAACAAGGTAAGTAATAAATATCTTTGACATGCATGAAAGTACATGAAATCTAGAAGATAAAACATGAGGACATTTTCAATCAAACTTGCTCCTCCTGTGAACTGTATATCTCTTTTAAAGGAAATTCTGTACCATGTTACTTGATGACTAGAATTCTACATTTTTTAGTACTAAGTACTGCTGAAATTCTTGACAAAAGGCTTAGTTTGTCACCTGTGAGGAGGACAATAAAGTGGTGAGTATGTTACAGAATGGAGTTAATGCCATCAAGAGAGGAGATGAGGGGAAATAGATAGAAAATGGATGCAGTTGTGTCATTGTTCCATCAAATGATCACATTTGTACACCAGTTGCATTGTTTTAGGTTTAGAAATTGTAGGTTTGTTTGGATGTGCTGCAGCAGAATAGAAATTCCTGACTTGCAGATTTTCATGTAACTTTTAGCAGTTTGCCACTCTACCTTACAATGTCTACCTTCAATGGTATAACTATTCAGCCCATTGTGACTACCAAAATTAGACACTTGGGCTGAAAATTGGAACTGGGTAATTTGATATAAATTTAGTGATAATGCTAACTTGAGGTGTTGGATGATCTTGTGCTGTTTTTGCATCTTCCAGTCATAAAATGTTTCGTACAATTGTGTTTAATTCCCATTGTTATGATAGCGGTTGTGCTGCCTGGATTCAACTAATGGTAATCTCAAATTACCTTAGTTGGTTCGCATTAGTGGTAAAAGCAGCCCTCATAATTGTGGTGCAGAATTTTTAATATCCACCTAGACCATGGAAAAGCTAGTCTCTTTGACCTAAAACTTTCTGTTGACTCTAGTTTCTTTTCCCTCTCATCGTTGTCTTACTCTGAAACAGATTGTCGTCAAATTTAATATCAGCTGAAGCAATTGACTCTATATCATAATTTATTCTTTTTCCCCTAGGTAAAACTGCTAAGGATTTCTAGTTTTGTCGAACCACATTAAATTGTTAGCTCAGATTATCTGCTCAGCTCCCGGAGTGAGTCATGAAGCCACGGTCCCCTGACTCCACTGTACGTACCAGCAACTGACCAAGGCTTGTCATGATTTATCCATTTATGTCAATCATTAAAATAAGAAAATTGGAAATCCTTAGCTTTATTTAGTTGGGGGAATTTTATAAATTTCAAACTAAATCACTATTCATTCACTATCATGGGGTCAAAATTCTGGAGCTTCCTTTCTTACTGTTCTGTGAGTGTCCTTACACCCGAAGGGCAGCAGCATTCAAGCAAGCAGTTCTTCACCACATCCTTCAAGTCAGTTTAGGATAGGCCATAAATTCTGACCTAGTCTGTAATACCCGCATCCCATGAACAAGTTTAAAAATAAGTCCATATAGTAAAGCTTTGACAGCTCCACACAAAATAATTTTTCCTATCTCCTAACCTTTCTGTTATAATTTTTAGTTGATTTCCTTTCATAAGTCACTATACTGTTTTTCCTTCATGTATTATCTCATTTATTGACAATAAATTGCATTTGTCATTCAACAGCCCATTCAGTGAACCGGCCTGTCGTGTTGATGCCTCTGGTAGTCCATGCTGTTCTCCAACCCCTCTCTTTGTCAGTGAAAGATTTCCTGCTTGTGTTCTCTAACCAAATGTAAATCTTCTGTGCGTACCAAGAGCAAAGCAAATAGGAAAGCTGGGTTTTGGTACCCTGGCAAGTCTTTTTTCTTTAACTCCTCACGAATGAGCTATCTTAGTATTTTTTTTCTGTCACCATAAGGCAGGGTGAATGATTAGCTTATTTTTCTCCTGACCTGTGTTACATTTAAATTTGATTTGCTAACCCTTGGTCAGGTTACCCTTAAGCTTCTGAGTAAGTGAATCGTCAAGGAAGGAACCAGACCACAAGTCACGCGTGAAACCTTATTTGTCGGTTATGAATTGCAACTTCAAGTGGAGTACATATATCTTAAACAAACATGCAGCTGACTAACATTGTTAGTTTGAGTAGCAAATCATTAAAGAACAGTTACTTAACACCTGTACAAAAGGTTACACTGGCTACTCATATATCTTCAAGTTGCACCTGGCTATTTACTTTAGCAGTGACTGAAGTGAGGATATAGATTGGTGAGCCTATTTCGTAACTAATTTTGATAACTGGTAGGTTAACAGCTTTGAATAGCACATCCAACAAATAGCTGAAGACTGCATGTGATTAACAACATTCAAAGCTTATGCAGCCCCACCCTCACGAAGATCAGATTAACCTCTTCACATTTTTAATGCAGACTTTGGCATCTGGACTATTTACTCAGCAAGCCTCCTTTTCAACAGTGGGGTTATTTGTTTCACTTGGATCTCCATTTCCAGCTGCATCACCATAAGCATGTGCCTCAATATCTGAACTTGCTTCACTCTTGTCAAACCTCCTCAACTTGTAAAGTTAAGTGACCCTTTTCTCAGCTGCACCAACTAATTGGCGGCATGGAAAACTAACTCTGTTCACTCTGGCTGAATGGTGTTCAAGGCATCTATTTGGCATCAGTTGCCCAAGTTCTTGCCAACCTCAGTCAATCAGACCTGCCAGTGTGGAGTCCTTTTGTCGCCACATGGACGTCCTCCAGCAATGTAGACTCAGTATTTATCAGTATTATGGTTGCATATCAGTATGTTTCTCACATAACTTGGAAAAGGTCACCTTCATGTTCCATTCTTTGTTCCCAAGTCATTAGATTTGTGGATAATGATTTCTGTTACTGGTAGAGGATGCTTATACTCATGCTAACATTTCTAGGGTTATAATTTAGGATCCCTTATAATGTCAGTTGTTTCATAGACTATAGCTTTGATTTTATGATTAAATTATTTCTGAAACTCCATGGTGAATAGTCTGACAGATGACAAACTTATTTTACTAAAAGCTTTTTTGCAGCCTTTAGTTAACAGCCGGATTCTACACTGACTTTGGCTTTGCATCACCAACCCTTTCATGATTTAATCTCTCCTTTGTCCACCCTATCAGCAGATTAGGATGCAAGAGCAGTAGGCCATTTGACCCGTCGAGTCTGCTCTGCCATTAAGATACATCATATCTGACCTGCTAATCCACAACTCTAATTTCCTACTTTATCCCCATAGTCCTTGATTTCCTTACTGATTAGAATCTTTATATCTCAGCTTTTTAATGTGCTTAATGACCTACCCCTGACAGCCCTCTAGTAAAGAATTCCACAGATTCACAACCCTCTAAGGGAAGAAATGCCTTATCTCTCTCTTAAATGGGCAATCACCTATTCTGAGATTATGTCCTCACAACCTCTCAGCATCTAATCTTTCAATTTTGTATGTTTCAATAAGGTCATTTCTCACTTTTCTAAACTTCAATGAGTACAAGCCCATCATACTCAATCTCTCTTCTCATAAGACAATTCCTCCACAACTGGAATTGAGCTAGTGATCCTTTTCTGGACTGCCTCAAATGCCAGTCTATCTTTGCTTAGATAAGGAGACCTGAACTGTTCATAGTATTCAGACTACAGCTGGAATACTACCTTGTATTGTAAAAGCTTCCTGACTTTTATACTGTATACACTATGAAATAAAGGCCAAAATTCAATTTGCTTTACCTATTAATTTCTGAACTTGGATGCTTGCTCTTTGTGGTTTTTGTAAAAGTATGGATAAATCCCTCTGTGCTGCAGCTTTGTACAGTCTTTCTGTATTTAAATAATTTTCAGCTCCTTTGTTCTTCCTACCAAATTCCATAGTCTGTCATTCTCTCACATAATATTCCATCCACCAAGATTTTACACACTAACTTAACTTGTCTATGTCCGCCTGCAGACTTTGTTATCCTTACTCTTGCCTTTCCACCTATTATTTTGTCATCTGCAAACGTGGCCATAGTACATTCTTTTTCCTCATTGAAGTTATTAATATATTGTAAACAATTGTGACCCTGGAACTGGTCCCAGGGGCGCACCACTAGTTGCAGGTTGCCATTCTGGGGGAAAAAATCCCACCTTATCCCACCTTATCTCAACTGTCTGTCTTCAATTAATTAGCCTCGACAAGGAAAACCGTACTTAACCTCCATTATCACCACTCTTCCTGCTGCAGATGCATTTGTCCGTTACTATCTGTAAGCGTGGCCATTGCGTAGTCCTTGTGGATACAAAATCTGATGTTCACATTGAGAATACCCGCCATCCTGTTGTGTGGCATGATCATCATACTAAATGTGATAGACTTCGTACAGATCTAACAACTCAAGATTTAGTATCCACGAGATGCTGTTGGTTGTCAGTAGCAACTAAATCGTAGTCCAACATAATCTGTGACCTCTTGGCCCAGCATATTCCCCAATCCTACCATCAACCCAGCAGAACAACCCTAGTTCAATGTAGAATGCACAAGGCATTCCTGGAGCAGCACCAGGCATATGTAAAAGAGATGGAACAACCTGATGAAGCAACACAATGGGACTAATTGTATACCAAATAGCATAAGCAAAAAGTGATGGACAGACCTAAGTGACTCCAAACCAACAGATCAAATCTAAGCTCTGCAGACCTGTCACATCTTGTAATGAATGGTGGTGGACACTTAAACAACTCACTGGAGGAGTAAGTTCCACCAATATCCCCATCCTCAATAATTGCCGAACCCAAAACATCAGTGCAAATGATAAACTTGACGTTCTTCAGCTAGAGTGTCTGAATCTTTCTCTCCTCAAGAGACCATCAGCATATTAAATGCCAGTCTTCAGTCACTTCACTGGTTGAAGTCATGCCTGTGCAAAGGAAGATGGTTGAAATGGTTCATCTTAGCTCCAGGACATTTCTGCAGGCGTTCTTCAGCGTAGTGTTCTTGGCCTAATCATCTTTAACTGTTTCAATGATCTTCCCTCAATCCTGAGTTCAAAGTGGGGATGTTCACTGATAACAGCACAATATTCAGCACTATTCACTACCCCTCAGATACCGAAGGAATCCATGTTGAAATGCATCAAAACCTGGACAATATCCAGGCTTGGACCAACAAGTAACAAAGTCCCATTCACACCACATTTTTGTCAGGAAATGACCATCTCCAACAAGATAGAATCTAATAATGACCCACTGGTATATAATGTTATCACCATCTCAGAATCTACCATTATCTACATCCTGGTTGCTACCATTGAACAGGAATTGAACTGGCTACAAGAGTAGGTCAGAGGTTAGGAATCTTGCAGCAAGTAACTCACTTTCTGATTTCCTAAAACCTGTTCACCATCATCAAGACACAAGTCAGGGATGTGATGAAACATTCCTCTTACCTGGATGAGTGCAGCTCCAACAACACTTGAAGAAACTTGACACCTTCCAAGACAAAGCAGCGATTGGTTCCCCATACATGAACATTCATTCCCTTCACCACCAGTGCTCAGTAGAGGCAGTGTGTACTCGAGACTCCTTAGACAGCACCTCCCAAACCCGTGACCACTCCCATTAAGAAGGTCAAGGGTAGCAGAAACATGGGAATACGGTCACTTGCAAAATCTTCAATTTGACATTCACCATCCAGACTTCAAAATATAGTACTGTTCCTTCAGTGTTGCTGGGTGAAAATCCTAGCAGTCCCTTCCTAACAGCATTGTGGGTGTACGTGTAGCCAAAGCACTGCAGCAGTTCAAGAAGGCAGGACCCCACCACATTCTCGAGGGAAACTTGGGATGGGCAAAAATTGCTGGTTCAGCCTGTGATGCTGCCATCTCTTGAGCGAATTTTTTAATAAAGCTTTTCCTCTATCTGTGTTAATATACTACGTTGATCATAGGTGCTTATCATGGAGCCTAATATGTCATACATTATCAAACACCTTTTGAATATCCAAATATATTACACCAACTGTTTCCCCTTTATCTGTGCTGCTTGTTAGAAAATCAATAAATGTGTTAGGTGTGATTTCCCCTCAATGAAGGCATGCTGGTTCAACTAGCTCATAATGTATTTACAAATATTCTGTTATTTCATCCTTTATTATAAACTCTTGACATTTTCCGGTAACTTTCTGCTCTGTTATTCTTGCCAACATCTGAATTTTGTCAAACCTTTATGCCAAAAGGTGTGTATTACTAGCTTCATTCTCTCTGTGATAAAGAATTCAATAAGTTGACAACTTCTGAGAGAAGAAATTCCCCCTCGTCCCTGTCCTAACTGCTTGTCCCAGAATTTTAAAATTACAGTCTCTTCACCTTGACAGTCAAGAAGCAGCAATCTCTTTGCATCTAACCCCAGAAGATCAACAATAAGGTCACCTTTCATTCTTCTAAACTCTAACGAGTGCAGATTCAAACTACTCAATTTCCCTTCATAAGACAATCTTTCTATTTCTGGTTCAACTGGTAAATCCTAACTGGATTGCCTTCAGTGTCCGTATTCTTTTCCTTCGATAATGGAAACAACACTATTCACAGTAGTCCAGTTGTGGTCTATCTGGGTCATGAATAGTTCAACAGAATCTCCTTTCTAGCCTTATCAGTGTTATTGGCACAATTGTTGTACAATAACTGGATCCGCCTCAAAGTTTTTCTCCCGCCCTGAGATGTCCTTACTCCTGGAAATGGGTAGGCAACACATGTTTCGGGATGTTCATGGCTGCAGAGAACAGTATCTCTCTCCTTTATGATGCTGTGCCCTACCACTATTTTTTTCCTAATTCATCCCCCCACATGGATGTGTTCTTGTGCCATGGTACAGTGGTCAGTTTGTTCATCTGCCCCTCAGCCTCCACTTCGTCCATACACCATGCAAGAATTTCATAGCTATTGGATAATTGCAGGGACAGGACCTCATCACATGCAACCTCTGGGTTCCCATATTTGGTTTCACCTGCAATCACCGCTTCCTATCCCTGATCATGAAGCAAATTTGAATTACTTTGTCTGAGAGGAGTAAGTGCTGCCTGGAGAAAAGACTTAGGTAATCCCTGTCCCTGATGTTACACAATATCTGCAACTCGGAATCCAGCTCTTCAACTTGAATCTGAAGTTCCTCGAGCTGAAAATATTTACTGCAGATGTGTTCATTCAGGATCACCTTGGTGTTCATCCAGCAAAACATCAGCCCTCCTACTGTTGTATTTAATTTATTACTCTGAGATTCCCTGCTCCTTGAATTTTCCTGTAGTTTTACTTTGTTGGAAACAAAAAACAGTATCAATCTTGTACTTAACCACTACTTTTTAAGAAAGAGAAGAAACACACTGGAGACCAAGCACAAACTGAAGCCCTTTTACATTAATGACTAGAAATATTCCCTAGTCCTCGTCGTCAATCAGCTTCTTCTGCACCTGCATCCTGCTGTGGTTTGTGAGCTCTCTGCTCCTGGTTTCAATCTAAGCCTCTTATCCTGTCTCATTCACTGCTTTAGAGTTTACTTCTTGCAGTCAACCTTAGTTAAAACGTTTCTATCGCCCTTTGCACTGAATTCCTACTTCAAGCCAAATTTCCCATTTCACTCACTCATACTTTGTCTCATTCCACTGAAGTGTTCTGCGCACTGACTGTGCTCCTTACTATTGGTGCAAAAATCCCTCCATCATAGCTCTGATGAAGACTTATCCAGACTTGAAATGTTAGCTTGCTCTCTCTCTCTCTTTCCACTGATACTCCCTAACCCACTGTGATCTCCGGCATATTTTGTTTTCAGTACAGATTCCAGAAGTAATTTGTTCCCCTTCTTATATCAATCCACTCAATCACTTCTTCTCTACAATAATGAGCATCTTACTTGTTTGGTAATTTAGAATTTATGCTCTTATATGTTTAGCCTCTGAAAAATGTTGCTATTCATTTTGTAGTTGTAGCAAAGGATCCTGAAGTGACTGATGATTGGTTTGATGCAGAAGAGAATTTCACTGCTTCTAGTGGCTTCAGCGTCATGCAAATGAAAGCTAACAAAGGTGGAACCAGGACAACTGAAGACGATAGGATAAGTAATGATGCATGTAAGAGAAAAAGTCATGACTAAAAGTACCCGGTTGGAGTTTATATAGAAAATAGCCTGTCAACTATTCAAACAAGTCATTATTGTTTGCTGAGAATTTGTAGCTACCTTTCATGACCTGGCCCCCATCTCTCCTTCAACTAATAGAGCAGATTTTTTTGCTGGTATTAGTCCAGGTTCTTCTCAATAGGACACACACCCTGATTATTTGATTAAAGAATGTATAAAGCTCAAATATTTGACTGGAAAGAGTTGAACGTGATTCTGAAATGGCTTGAATCTTGAATAAAGTGTGATGAGAATATTTGAATTTTGGTGTGAGCTCTAAAATATGTTCAGTTGGGTGTTTTTAACCTCCTCAATAGTAATCAGGCTTTCCTAAGTTAGTTGGACTCAGATATCTAATAGCCTTGTTACTGTATTAATGCTGTACAACTGAAAGATGCATTCATAGTATGCAGCTGTTTATTCTGCTTGCCTCTCCATTCTTTTTCTGTTCCACTCTCTTTCAACTTTAATGTTCTCTTTCCTTTCCCCATGCATCATCTAATATGATGTGGTATTTTTTGCTTTGTTTCCTAATGTCCGTTTTAAGACCCTTTTTAAGCAACTGTAATATTTAGGTTTGATAGTCAATATTATTGCAGACCATGGTGTGGACTATGCTGAATTCAGATAACTTTTTGTTGCCAGTCAATAATCAAGGAAGTTGACCTTCACAGATCACAGATACCCCATGGCATGGAAACAGGCCATTTGGCCCAACACGTCCACACGTCCCCTCCAAAGAGCATCCCTCCCAGACCCATTCCCCTACCCCTGCATTTCCCATGTCTAACCCACCTAACCTAAACATCCCTGGACACTAAGGGCAATTTAGCCTGGCCAATCCACCTAGCCTGCACATCTTTGGACTGTGAGAGGAAACCGAAGCACCCGGAGGAAACCCACCCAGACACGGGGAGAATGTGCAAAATCCACACAGACAGTCGCCTAAGGGTGGAATTGAACTCGGGTCCGTGGTACCATGAGGCAGCAGTGCTAACCACTGAGCTACCGTGCTACCTTGTGGAAGATTTGTTTGGAAAAACCAAGAACATTTTTAAGATACTGAGATAGTGAGAACTGCACGTGCTACAGTCAGAGTTAACACAGTGTGGAGCTGGAGGAGCACCGCAGGCCAGGCAGCATCAGAGGAATGGGAAAGTTGACTTTTTGGGTCGGGACCCTTCTTCAGAAATGGGGAGGGGGAGGGGAGCTCCAGAAGTAAGTATAGAGAAGGGTCGGGGCTGGGGAAGGTAGGTAGGTGGGATGGTGATAGGTGAGTGCAGATAGGCAGTGGTTGGGATTGGTCAGTGAGGTGGGAGTGGCGGATAGGTGGGAGAGAGGATGGACAGGTTGTGTCAGGTCAAGGAAGTGGGGATCAGAGGGAGGGTTGGTCATGGGATGACACAGCGGGAGGAGAGATTTTGAAACTGGTAAAGTTCAGGTTTAGACCATTGGGCTGTAGACTCCCGAGGCAAAATATGAGGTGCTGCTCCTCCAGTTTGCGGGTGGCGTCATTGTGACACCGGAGGAGGCCCAGGATGGACATGTCACCCAAGGAGTGGGAGCAGGAGTTAAAATGTTTCGCAACCAGAAGGTGGTGGTGTTTGTCGCGTACAGAACGCAGATGTTCTACAAAACAGTCTCTGCTTGGTCTCACCGATGTAGAGGAGACCACATCGGGTGCAGTGGACCAAGTTGACGGATGTGCAGGTGAACCCATGTCTGATGTCGAAGGTTTGTTTTTTGCCTTGAATGGAGGTGAGGAGGGTGAGGTGTAGGGGCAGGTGTAGCACTTGCTGCGGTTGGGGATGGTGGGGTTAATGGGGAGTGTGGAGCAGATGAGAGATTCGCAGATAGGGGTGGGGAGGGAAGTATATCTTTGGCCGTGGGGTCAGATTGTAGGTGGCGGAAGTAGCAGAGAATGATACTTTGGATGCGGAGGTTGGAGGTTCATAACCTCATCGCCTTAGGTGTCCTCCCAGCCTCCAACCTCACCATTCCCCAAGCCCGCACCGCCCATTTTTATCTCCTTCCCAAAATCCACAAACTAACTACCCCAGCCGACCCATTGTCTCTGCATGCTCCTGCCCCACGGAATTCCTCTCCGCTTACCTTGAGTCTGTTTTATCACCCTGGTCCAGGAACTCCCCACCTACGCCTGGAACACTGCCTATGCCCTCCACCGCCTCCAGGACTTCTGGTTCCCTGGCCCCCAGTGCCTCATCTTTACTATGGACGTCCAGTCCCTGTACGCTTGTATCCCTCACGCAGATGGCATTAAAGCCCTCTGTTTCTTCCTGTCCCGCAGGCCCAACCAGTCCCCCTCCACCGACACCCTCATCCGCTTGACTGAACACGTCCTTACCCTTAACAACTTCTCCTTCAACTCCTCCCACTTCCTACTGACTAAGGGGCTGGCCATGGACACCTGCATGTGCCCAAGCTATGCCTACCCCTTCATAGGATACGTGGAACAGTTCCTCTTCTGCTGCTACACTAGCACTATCCCCCACCTCTTTCTCTGCTACATTGACTATTATCAGCGCTGCCTTGTGCTCCCACGAGCAGCTTGAACAATTCATCAACTTTACGAACACCTTTCACTCTAACCTGAAATTCACCTGGACCATCTCCGATACCTCCCTCTCCTTCCTGGACCTCTCTGATGACTGCCTTGTAACCGACATTTATTTCAAACCCACTGACTCCCACAGCTACCTAAACTATACCTCCTCTCACCCACCTTCCTGCAAGAATGCAATCCCCTACTCCCAATTCCTCTGCCTCCGCCACGTCTATTCCCAAGGTGGGGCGTTCCACTCCCGTGCATCCCAGATGTCCTCCTATTTTAAAGACCTTAACATTCCACCTCCGGTAATTGAAAATGCCCTCAAACGCATCGCTTGCATCTCCCACCCCTCTGCCCTCACATCGCGTCCCCCCAACAAAAACAAAAATAAAGACAGAAACCCCCTCGTCCTTACATATCACCCCAGCAACCTCCGCATCCAATGTATCATTCGCAGCCACTTCCACCATCTACAATCTGACCCCACAACCAAAGGTGTATTTCCCTCCCCACCCCTATCTGCCTTTCATAGGGATCGCACTCTCTGCAACTCCCTCATCTGCTCCACACTCCTCACTAGCCCCACCATCCCTGACACTCTTCCCTGCAACTGCAGCAAGTGCTACACCTGCCCCTACACTTGCCCCCTCACCTCCATTCAACGCAAAAAACAAACCTTCAACATCAGACATGGGTTCACCTGCACATCCATCAACTTGGTCTGCTGCATCCGCTGCACCCGACGTGGCCTCCTCTATATTGATGAGACCAAGCGGAGACTAGGAGACTGTTTTGTAGAACATCTGCGCTATGTACGTGACAAACAATAACACCCTCCGGTCGCGAAACATTTTAACTCCCCCTCCCAATCCCTGGGTGACATATCCATCCTGGGCCTCCTCCAGTGTCACAATGACACCATCCGCAAACTGGAGGAGCTGCACCTCATATTTCGCCTTGGGAGCCTGCAGCCCAATGGCCTAAACATGGATTTTATCAGTTTCAAAATCTCCCCACCCTGAACTCATCCCATGACCAACTCTCCATCTCATCCCAAAATCCTTGACCTGACACAACCTGTCCATCTTCATAGATCTTAGAATCCCTACAGTGAGGCAACAGGCCCTTTGACTCAACAAGTCCACACCAACACTCAGAGCATCCCACTCAGACCATCCCCTATAATCCACCTAATCTACACAATCCTGAAGACTATAGGCAATTTAGCATGGCCAATCCAAAGGGACTATGGGAGGAAACCGGAGCACCCGGAGAAAACCCACACAGACACTGGGAGAATGTCTGTGTGGAGTTTGCACAGTCGCCCGAGGGTGGAATCTAACGCAGGTCCCTGGCGCTGTGAGGCAGCAGTGCTAACCACTGAGCCACAGTGCCGCCCTATCTTCTTTCCCACCTATCCGACATTCCCACCTCACCGACCAATCCCAACCACTGCCTACATGCTCTCACCTATCACCATTCCACCTACCTTCCCCAGCCCCACCCCTCCTCTCTCTATTTATTTCTGCATTCCCCTCTCCCTCCCCATTTATGAAGAAGGCTCCCGACCCGAAACATCAGCTTTCTTGTTCCTCTGATGCTGCCTGGCCTCCTCTGTTCCTCCAGCTCCACACTTTGTTACTACATTTTTAAGATATCTATCTTTGGAGTTAATATCTGTCATCCCCACCTCCCACTTTGGGAAGAGAAATAAAATTGTAGATTGATTTTTGTATTTTGAGAGACTGGAAAAAGTATTAGAAGAATCTGCATGTCCTTATACATCACAAAGTTTATTAGGCAAGTGCCTGATCCAAAATTGGATCCAGAAGTGGATTTCCAACAGATTTCCCATTTCCAACAGATTTCCCATTTCCAACAGAT